AGAGCTCACAGCAGGGAGTGGTGGAGGCCTGTGCAGGGTGGAGGTGCCCATGGTTGGTTCTCCTTCTGCCGAAATGTGTAAGGCCTCAGCCAAGCCTCTTTGCCATTGGGCATTGACTTTATTAACTGAAGGGTGAGCTCCATCGACTGCTCTTTTGAGCCCCCACAGCATTCAAATTCTTTGGCATATCTAAACAACTATTAAAAAGCCCAATTGATAGAGTGTATTTTGGGAGAAAAATCAACATCCTATATGATTACATTACATGATGTTTAAAAATGGACAAAAATTGCCTTTTCCAGTGCAACACCAAGTGGTGAAGAGCCCGTGTGTGTGCTCACAGGCATGGTGTCCAAGGGGGTCTTCAAATTTAAGAAGACAGCCACAGCCATGGTGCACTGAAAACAGGGAGACAGCCTCATCAGGTTGAACTGGCGTCCCCTGGAGATGATCGAGTCGCGCACTCTGCAGTACAAGTTATTAGAGCCAGTTCTGTTTCTGGGCAAGGAGCGGTTTGCTTACATGGACAGCAGGATCCTTGTGAAGGGTAGTGGTCATGTGGCCCAGATTAATGCTATTTCGACAGTTGATCTCCAAAGCCCTGGTGGCCTGCTACTAGAATTATGTGGATGAGACTTCAAAGGAGATCAAAGACACCCAGCTCATAGCCAATCCCTTCGCTGTGAGTCCAAAAAGTTTGGAGGTCCTGGTGCTCGTGCTTGCGACCAGAAATCCTACCACTACACCCATTACAAGGATCAGTGTTTACCTTTATAATAAACATTGTGGGATTGCAATGCCTATCAAAATACCCATGGCATTCTTCACAGAAGAGGAAAAAAAAGTTGACAGAAATCTCCTGTGTGCTAGAAGTCAGAATGGTGGTCACCTCTACAGAGCGACTGGGAGTGGCTGTGAGCAAGTGAAGCAGATTTCCAGGGTGCCAGAAACATTCCGTATTGTTCTCCAAGGCACTACAATGCTGAAAAGTTAATTTTCCCATTTTTTAATCTCACTCATTAGTATGTAATATTTTTTTTTTCTAGGGAAGAAGGGAGGGAGGAATAGGAGGGAAGAGAGAAATAGGAGAGATGGGCAAGCTTTGAGATAGTAAGAGAGAGGTTTAAAATCATTTTGTGGCCTATCAGCTGCATTTTCTAAAGTATCTTTTGGTAACTTAGACTCTGTTATTAACAGCTGTTGTTAGAGGTTCTACTTAGAATGTGGGAAGGCTGGGTATGAAGCAGGTTTCTTTGTTATGGAACTTCTTGAAGTCATTGATGGATTTGTTAGCTTTCCAACTCTGTAACAAAATGCCCGGGGCAATGAATTTTTAGGGAAAAAACAGGTTGATTTGGGCTCAGGGTTTAAGAGCCTTCAATCCATGGTCACTTGGTCCTGTTGTGAGGCTTTGGCAATATAGTTGTACATAGTGGGAGCAAATGCTAGAGTAGGCCTGTTCATCTCACGGTGGCCACAAAGCAGCGAGAGACAGGAAGGGGCCAGGACCTCAATACCCCCATAAGAGCATTCCCTCAATGATTTAATTTCTTCCTAAATGTTCTCCCACCTCCCAGTACTGACACAGGCTGGTGATAAAGCCCTTAAACACATGAACTTTTGGGGAACACTTCCAAAACACTATAGAGTAGTACCCCCTCAGGAAGATCATTTTAAGAAACATTTCCTATATGCATTTGATTACAAACTATGGGCAGCAGCTGTCAATATTTCCCCCTGGAACATTTGACTATATGCTACTGTGGCTGATTTCATTAGTAAATGAGTCCTTTCACTGTTTTTCAGTCCAGTTGTTAGAAGCTGCTTTGTTCAGCAAATGGAAACTATTACAGAATTCAACAGCTGGTCAAAATGCATAGAATAAGTGACCATAGGCTCTCCAACCCCAGTTGTTATATCTATAATGCAACCCCTATACCTAAGGTTTGGGAAACATCATGGAAGAGGGGGCAGAAGGACTTTAAGAGCCAGAGGACCAGGACTCCTGCTGCAAAATAGTGTCTTCCAGACAGGGAAGCAGCACCCATGAAATCTGAACAATATGTTTGCCTAAACCAAACCTGCATAATGACAACACCAGTTGACATTCCTACCTTGGGGAGGGGGGTAATTTCATGAGATCCCTGTCCCCTAGATGAAGAGCTGCAGACAATCAGTGGCTGCTGAAAGAGGAAGAATCCGTTTTCTCCAGGGACAAGCTTCTTGATAGGTTAGCCAGTCCCAAGTGATCAGCCCTAAACACGTACATATGAGCAACACTATTTGGACTCAGTAGGTTATACGTACACATACACACATAATGATAATAATTTAAAGAAGAGGTTATGCATTTGAAAGGGAGTGGGGGATGGGAAGAGTTAGGAGGGGAGAAGGAGTGGAAATGATGTAAATACAGTATTTATGCACGAAATTCTCAAAAAAAGGAGAATATTTTAAAGCAGTATTGTTGGAAACAATGAATGTAGAAAGTTCTAATGAGGCCAATTCTCAGAAACTTCATTTTATCTATTTAATTTTTCTGTGTATGAATGTATTGCCTGCATGTGTGTAAGTGCACTGGTGTCGTATAATGCCTGTGGAGGTCAGAAGAAGGCATCAGATTCCCCTGGAACTGGGCTTACAGACAACTGTTAGCCGCCATGTGGGTACTGGGAATTGATCCTGGGTCCTCTGCAAGAGCAGTCAGTGCTCCTAACTGCTGAGCCATCTCTCTAGCCCCAGAAACTTCATTTTCTAGTAGCACAGCATTTTGCCAGGTTTGCAATGACAGTTGTTGATGACAAACACCGGTAGGGAATGTGTCATACCAGTACTCCCTGTACTTCACTCCAAGCTCACTGTGGCCACATGGGCATCAAGTAATTGGCCAGTGTTGTGAGTACTGTAATTGAACTAGCTTGTCATCTCAGATTAATAATGAACTTTATTTTTTTTCTTTTTTGGGACAGGAAAAATATGTCCATACTCACTTCTCCCGGGGGGAAGGTTGAAGTGGTTCATTGCCGAAGAACAGAATCACAGGATATTCAATGTATCAAAAACCTCATTAGAAAATTTACTCAGAAGCTATTTGGGAGGCTTAATATCATCTATCTTCTGTAAGTACATAGCTAAGTAAGTTTAAGAATGTTTATCAGTTTAGCCACAGGGCTGGGGATATAGCTTAGTGACTGAGCTCTTGCCTAACATATATAAGGCCTTGGGTTCAATTTCAGGTACCACAAGAAAAAAACTAAGAATTTTACCATGTACCCAAATGGGACACCACTCTTTTGACCTCATAAACATTGAGTAATAGGAAGTGACAAATATGCAACAAAAAATGTAGGGGAACAATCAATCTCTATATCCTTTAACAATGTGTAAATTAAAAAGACTTCTCACAGGCTTTAGATTTAAGCAGACTTGGCTTGAAGCCCCAACTGCTCAACTCACTTGTACAGTACAGACTAGTAAAGTCACTGGGTGCACATTAATAGCATTACCAGATTTTGAAACTTTGTTGTATGTTAGGCTCTGTGCCTGCCAATATTATGTTACTGAATAATTCCAGCACTTCTCTGAGGTACCTGTTATTTGCACCCATTTTATAGATGAGAATGGGAGGCTTGCCGAAGGTCAGGTTTACATAAGTGGCCAAGCCACTATGTAAAATGTTAAAATGTTTTCCTAAACTTGAAAATGCAAACAGATTTTTTTCCTTAAGAGTGCTTTTGTTTTTCTTTGGGGTGTTTTTACCCTAACTGCCTAGCCAAATCCTACCTCCTATTCTTATCACACCATCCTCTGAAGGGGTTACCCAAATTGCCAATAGGGTATAGGGAGCAGACCTCTCTGGCTCCTTCCATGCTGAACAGGGATGCAAGGTGAGGCAATTGGAGTACCCCTCCAGTGGGTCTATCTAAAAGACTCCCAAATTGCATAACTGTTGTCTCTAAGGGGAAAAGAAAGTCCTTAAATCATGAATAGGAGATGTGAAGGAGAAGTAAAGGCAAGAGTAATTAGCATTGTAATTCTCGAAAAGGAACTAGAAAAAAGTCAGAATAGGGCAATTTTCAAATTTTCATATGAGTCCATTGGAATTTCTGGACAAGAGCTTCCAAAAGTATTCCTCTATTGGGTTCCTCCTCATTTTTCTTTTGTCTTCCAAGGCTTTCTGTCCTTGGGCTTCTTAGCAACATACTCTGTTCCAAAGGCCAAAAATGTTGAAAGTATTTGGGAGCTTGTATCTAATCCTTAAAAGATTTTAGGGTTACCTCTTCAACAGGGGGAATGTTAGAGTAGCCAAAGGCCCCATAAAAATAAATAAATAAATCAAAGAAGAAGAAAGAGTACATGAAGTTATCAGAAAAAAGTGATGGGGAGATATGGGAGGAGTTAGAGGGGAGGGAGTGGGCATGGATTTGATCAAAACACCTTATATGCATGTATGAAATTCTCAATAAATTACTTATTTTTAAAAAAGAGTGCTTTTGCTGCCTACTTTCTTCACTTACAGACCTTTTTAAAAACATTTTTATTTATTATTTTTATTTTATGTGAATGCGTGTAGTGCCTGCACGTAGGTAAGTGCACCTGTGTCGTGCAGTGCCCACAGAGGTCAGAAGAGGCTGTCGGATTCCCTGGGGCTGGAGTTACGGACACTTGTTAGCTGCCATGTGGGTGCTGGATTCAAACCTGGGTCTTCTGCAAGAACAACCAGTGTTCTTAACCGCTGAGCCAACTCTCCAGCCCCCCACTTATAGATCTTTTGTGGAAACCAGAATAAAATATCCTTCAATCTGCTCATTATTTTTATTGAAAATGTTATATGACCCAGTTTGGATTTCATAAGGCTTTCTGTCAAATACAATTATAATGTTTAAACTAAGACCAGATTAAGACAGTAACTTTATAGTTTTAAATCACTACACTGATGAGTGCAGTATAAATTCCATAGTTTTACTGGAGGGTTGTAGGGTAATACATATAAATGTTTTTGAAAAATGTATTCCAGTGAAATTTTATTGTTTGGCATTATTGTGGACCAAATTCCTTGATGATGTCCTTTGGATAGAAACAGTTCTTGAAGTGTTGTTAATAGACATAGGCACAATAATTAAAGACTATGCAAAGAAATTATCAAATTAAAATCAAACCCATGCCAGCTTTCTCCTTGAGGATTTTCGCTGTATTCTGCAAATCTTGTATTTCTGTTTTGACAGCTTTTCAAAGAACAGGAGATAATTACTCCTTCCATGTAATGAGGAAAGTCTGATATCCTTTTGTATAAAACTGAGGTGGTCATTGTAAAGTTGATAACATAAACTCACTGTGTGAAAATTGTCAGTGAGGAAGCCAGTTTCCACCTCAGCCTGGAACGGAGGGACATAGAGTCTGCCCTGAGAATTCATGCACACACATTTCTTACAGATACATGTTAATTATCTGGGTAGCCAAACAACTTCCAGGGGAGAATTTAATTAAGTATGGCCACAGGTTAGTAGTGTGTTAAGGAAGACTGGCTGAAACAAGTGTAGAGTGGCCTGAAGGGATGCAGCCTAGCTCAGACTCTAAATGGTACCTGCAGATAAAATTGCAAACAGTATAAGCTCATTGTTAAAGTCATAAATTCACAAACAAACAAAAATGGGGTCAAATATGTGTTTAAATATAAGAAAAACATGGTTTAAAACAATAATAATTTATCCATATAAATTTAAAAGTAAACTTCAGGACTGGATGTACTTCAATAGTAGAGTATTTGCCTAATATGTATGGGGTCTTGGGTTCAGTCCTTAGTGCCGCAAAGAGGGAGAGGACTGTAATACTGACAAAACAGCATGTAAGTTGGGCAGAGCATAATCAGGAAAAAATACCTAATTATTTTTATTTTGCTGGGTTTGGTGGTGCGCGCCTTTAATCCCAGCACTTGGGAGTCAGAGGCAGGCAGATCTTTTTGAGTTCAAGGCCAGTCTAGTCTACATAGTGAGTTCCAGGACAGCTGGGGCTACAGGGAGACTCTGTCTCAAAAAGACAAACAAAAAAAAACCACAAAAAAACAAAACAAAACCTAATTATTTTAAAAAAAAAAAAAAAAAAAAAAAAAAAAAAAAAAAACCCACAAAAAAACAAACCAAACCTAATTATTTTTATTTTATGAGTGAGTTGCCTGCATGTGTGTAAGTGCACCCGTGTCATGCAATGCCCGCAGAGGTCAGAAGAGGCTGTTCGATCCCCTGGAAGTGGAGTTATGGACAGTGACTAGCCACCATGTGGGTGCTGGGAATCAGACTTAGGTCCTCTGCAAGAGCAGCCAGTGCTCTTAACTGCTGGTCATCTCTCCAGCCCCAGAATGAAGTACTCTTTAGGTCTCCCACTGGGTCTCCTGCAGTGTTACCTCTCAGAATTCAGTTGCCATACTATCAAAGTTTGAATCTTATGGCTACATGCAGATGTTTATTACACAGTAGCCTCAGCTGAGTCCCTGAGCCTACAGCCATGTTAACCATTTTCATTGAGTCTTCATGTCTCCAGGCACAGCCACATTTGACTATGATCACAGAACCTGTTCAGTTAACTCAGAATCACAAAGCAGTCATAAACTGTTGCTTAAGACCAGTAAGTATTTGACTTGAACAGAAGGTAAACATTTTCTTTAAAATAGATAATCGATTAATATGGTTAAGATCATTCGTAAAAGATACATCTGGGAGATGCCCAGTACTAGGTGACACACCTGCAGTCGAATCGCTACAACTAAGTCTCATCGAACATAGTGGAATAAGGGGTAGAGAGAGGGCTAATGCAGCCCTCAACTCACTGGTGAGACTTCCCTGTACATCAGAGTGTGATGCACACAGAAGGCCACAACTGGCCGAATTTTGGAGAATAAGAGACTGTAGAGTATAGGATGGGACTTCTATATGGAACCTCACCCACCCATGGCTCAGGGACCATTTCGGAAGAGGAAGCAGAAAGATTGTAAGAGCCAGGGCTGGTTCATGAACACAGGGAGGTAGAAGCTTCTAGGTCACTGGAGGCTTGCTCATGTGAGCCTGTAGCAGTGGTGGCTTTGAGCATGGGACCCATGTTAGCTCAATTAAACAAGGGCCCAAAGGGGAGATGAGAAATGTGTAGCAGACCAGCACTAGATTGAGAACTATTGAGACTGAACGCTGCTGTGTGAGGGAAGAGCATGACTTGCATATGACCACTGAATGGGCTGACTAGATTCCAGTGGACACATTTACACTGAAGGACATTTAGGTACAAATACCTGAATGAATAGGACTCAGCCTGTATGGCAGAGTGCATAGGGTTCTGTGGGAGGAAAGGGGAAGGTATGGATGGGGGAGGGGGGGTTGGATTTGAGTGAGAAATGTACGAAATTTAAAAAGCTCAATTAAAAAAAAAAAAGAACTTTATAATTCATCAGCACCCATCTGATGGCTAGCAACCGTCCATTAACTCGAGGGCCAGGGGATCCAATGCAGGCATTGCACAACAAGGGTGCACGTACATACATGCAGGCATAGCACTAAAACACAAAAATAAATAAAAATTAAAATGATACATGTTGATTGGTGAAAGATAAAAATAAAACTGATTACTTACAAATGATTTAGTCTTTTGGTTTGGGGGGGTTTAGTATCTTTTATTTATTCTTCGCCAATTTCATACATGTATACAATGTATTTTGATGGTGTTTACCTCAGTTCCTTTCTCACACTTCCCTGAACATCCCCACAACATTGTCCCCTTCCCACCTCATGTCTTCTCCTTCCTTTTCTTTTGTTGCCCACTGAGTCCATTAATGTTTCCTTTTGGAAGATTGACTGCTCGTCTTGGCTTCCTCTTGTGTAGGTCTTGTGTAGGTAACTATAGCTATAGTGAGCTCATGAATGTAATGGCCATGACAGCATTTCACAGCACTTCTCATCATTCTCCAGCTCTTAAATTCTGTCTACCCCCTCTGCTGTGATGTTCCCTGAGCCTGGGGTGATTTATTTTTCATGTAGAAAATCATTAGATTTAATACCAAATAATAATCATTAGATTTAATACCGAAATTTAAATAATAATCATTAGATTTAATACCAAAATTTAAAGTTGCTGGCTCCCAAGCAATTAAATAAAATCAAAGTGGGAGCAGGAGAAATAGCTGCTCTTCCAGGGGACCTGGGCTTGGTTCCGAGCACCCACGTGGCAGCTAACAATTGTCTGTAACTTTAGTTTCAGGGAGTCTGGTGCCCTCTTCTGGCCTCTGTGGGCATTGCACACTAGGTGCTCTTAAATGTTTGGGGGCAAAACACTAATACACAAAAAATACATAATTAATTAAAAGCAAACTGCATTTTCATAAACAGTACTAGTTGTAGATGGTTAGGAAAGATTTTGCTATTTACATTCGTGCTAAAGAATATAAAATACCTAGTCTAACACTAACAGAATAACTCTAGCGTTCATGGAGGAAATTCCAATTCCTGAAAGACATAAAGGAAGAATTGCATAAATTAAGAGATATGCCACATTTTGGATATTCAAAATCATTAGGTCATAAAGTCCACTTTCTCCCTAGTCTATGGGAGGACTATTTGTTGATCTTAATGATAGGAGTCTAAATTTATATGGGAAAGCAAAAAAACAGATAATCTGAAAGACTTGATGGGGTTAGATAAAGACTCCTAGGTATAGCATTTCGGACAGTGTAGAGATAGCCGGGCAACTGGTAGACCCTGGGTGGGCCAGCATAGAACTCCTGGGAAGAGACACCCTTGTGTTTGAAGGTTTGATGAAGACATAGAAAGGGGGCATTAGGGAAAGACTGAAGCATTTCCTAAGTGCTGCTGTGACTTTTTTAAAAAACAAATATGGACAAGAAAATAGATGTGTGCAGCAACTTCCTGTCTTAAAACCCTCAAAGATCAGTTCTGGGTGGATTTATGCTTCACTGTGGATGGTATCTAACAGTGGTGACGGAAGCTCCTAGAACGAGTTGATTGCTCCCTCTTCCTGGGGGCTATGACCCCTGGGATCCCTAGAAGGTGCTTTAGACTTAGGGTGGCCTACCTTCATCTCCTCATACCTCCATCACTCACGCAACTCCATTCTCCCATTCAAGCCCAAACATAGGTGCCATCATCACTCCATCAGAGGGGTCCACTCCATCTGGCTTAAGCAGGAGGCACTTGGGATTCAGCTGCCCCATGATTGCTGGCTCTTCCTTGGTCTGCAAGGGCAGGTTCTTTCATGGGGTATTTAGAAGATGGAATGCAGGTGTGTGTGTTTGTGTGTTTGACAAATAAGCCCTACCCACAGATTTTTTTTTTCAAAAAGCTTCCACAAACCTGTTTTCTCAAAGCCTGTTCCTAGCCTAAGTACCTAAAAGTTAATTACATTCAGCAGCTGGTTATTCTTAAAGGCAAGCTGGGTCTTATAGTAATTGTGACAGTAATTTTTATGTTCTCAATTTGTAGATTAGAAAGTATAGCTATGTCATGTGAAAAAGGAGTAGTGAAAAACTAATTATACAGCCTGTCAAGGTGACACATGGCTATAATCCCAGGACTCTGGAGACTGAAACAGGAGGATCGCAGTGTTTTTAAGGTCCAAAAAACAGTTGTGTTAAAATGAGACCCTTATAAATGGGAAGGTTGTGACCCACCTTAAGAGATAGTGTACTTCCTGAAGTAAAAGTAAATTTACATTTTGTTTCCTCGAATTTCAGAGCAGCTGTGGCCAGGCCCACATGGTCTTTCACACTTCATGGTAACTCCTGGCTCTTTACCACGTCAACCCCAAGACTTAATCATATTTTTTTAGGAATTTCTAAAAATAGTGATTTCTTTTCTCATCTATTGAGTTTTTTTTTTAGTTGATTGCTCAGTCACAGAGTTGTAGAAACAAGTAAAACTGATCAGATTTTACAGTTGGGCTAAATTTTAGGGATAACCATGAGCAGACAGCAAGGCAGATGAGCAGCTTCGGAACTGAATCTTCCATGTTGAGAGCAGAGATCACATGGCTGCCCTGGCCTCCCATCTGTATGTGATGAACTCAAGAGAACACTGAGGTCTCTCATTCGTTAAACAAAGCAGGAAGGAGGGTGCTGTCTCACCAAGATTTCCCACTTTAAATAAGTTTCCACTACCCTTGGAAACTTCCCCAAACCAATGGAACAAATACAGCATTACTCTAATGAAAAAAGCTCTGACTTCTATTGCTGGACAATATGCGCTTTAACCTAATTTGTGTGGAATACATATATTATGTGCATATATTATGTACATACATATGTGATATATATGGCCATATCTAAGGTCCTAATAGCTTGTATTTAGATTATTACAAAGAACAGTTTAAAATCTGTCTTTTAAAATCGCACCTTATCCCTCTACCTTTTTCCTCTTCATCTCTCCCCTTTGGGATCACAGGATGATTTTTATCAGCCTCTAGAAGGATGTAATGACAAAGAGGCAATAATAAATGGAAATTATGTACACAAAAGGATAATGCTACAGAAGTTGCTTTTTATTATGGCAGCTATTTGGAAATTGTCATGTATTTTCTCTTTGAAATGAAGTTGTTCCTGGCTGGCTTCCCAGGCCAACCCACAAAAGCTTATTTAATCCATAATGTCTGTGCAGTATGGTACCGTGTTAATTGTACTATGGAACCCAACTGCCATCCTAAGGTTCCCATGGATAAATGCATTTCAAATTAATATTGGGATTCCAGGAACACATTGTCCCTGGCTTTCCTTAGGCGATGGTGGCGCCCTGTCCCCAATTCTTGCCCACCTCTTCCTTCCCACCACCACTATGATCGTCATGACTGACGTGCACTGGGTCTCTGGGGTTAGACATTTTCTCATTTGAACTAGAGGGAGGGCTCTCAGCCTGAGGCCATAGATTATTGCCTCAACAGAAAAGTCCAGAAGATCAAGAGCTGGTGGGGGTAGGGTGGAGAGATGCCTCAGGGAGAGTGAATTGAGAAGTTATGAGGCTGCATCTTCTTGCCAATGCATTCCCTGTGTGGATACTGTATTCCAGATACCCATGGGACCTTTCTTTCATAGCCTTAGCTTGTGTAGGGCCAGGTGAATCCTGGTTCATTTCCCCATGGTTGAGGGGTATGATCATATGTCGCTCCCTGTACCTTCCTATGAGGGGGCACAGAGGCTGTAGGTGTTGACTGAGATTGACATCCTGAGGCACAGTGTTTCTCAAAGATGTCCATACACATAGTGGATCCAAAGTTATTTTATGTGATACATGCATGAGCAATTTTTGTTTTAAATGTATTGTTTTTGTTTTTTTATAGTTACTTTCTATTGGTAGCAAAGGAGGCTGTTTTTCCATTTATGGTACTGATATAAATTTCCTGCTTAAGTATTCTTTTTTAATCCCAAAGTGAATTGATTTATAAAAAACCATTAAGTTGGCTGGGCATGGTGATGCACACCTTTAATCCCAGCACTGGGGAGGCAGGCCAGCTTGGTCTACATAGTGAGTTCCAGGACAGCTGGGACTACAAGGAGTCCCTGTCTCAAAAAAAAAAAAAAAAAAAAAAAAAAAAAAAAAAAAAAAAAAAAAAACCCAAAAAATAACAACAAAAAACCCACATCAAGTTAAAGAACAGAAAATATTCGTGTATAAAAGACTGTTGTCTGATGAAATATTTTAGTAAAATGATCTGAAGCCAAGTAGAAAAAAATCAGGCTACAAATAGTTTGGATTCTGCACTTAACTTTTTTTTTTTTTTGGTCTTCTTGAGACGGGGTCTCCCTGTAGCCCCAGCTGGCCTGGTGCTCACTATGTAGACCAGGCTGGCCTTGAACTCACAGAAATCCACCTGCCTCTGCCTCCCAAGTGCTGGGATTAAAGGCATGTGCCACCATGCCTGACTGCACTTAATATTTTTTAAAGCACACAAAGTACATTTCTGAGTGTAGTTACCCTCAAAACAGAGAAAGAAGTCCAAGCCAGGTATGCTGGGGCACATCTACTATCCCAGCACTCAAGAGGCTAAGGCAACCTGGGCTACGTACTGAGACCTGAAATAAGGTCAGGTGTCAGGGAAGGAAAGTATTCATAGTCATTGGTTGTCTGTGGGATGTGGTAACTCCTGCCATCTGTTTTTGAAGTGTTTAAGATACCAGTTAATTTCATTCAGCTGAGAAAGTGAAGATGGCCTTTCAATTTATATGCAAATATCCTTCATGTGGTAAGCTGTATTCTGGCTCTGAGTCATAGTGCTGTGCTGTCTTGATGGACCACAAGGCAGGCCTGTAGTTGAGTAGGATCGTTGTGATGGTCCCCTGGGGACAACCACTGCAATAAGAGTTGGAAGGCCTGCTTCTCCTCCTTTGGCTTGATTTAGGTTCCAAGCTGACTTAGCTTGAACAAGACCCCTCAGGGTCTATTTCTGCAGCTATATCAGACAATGCTATAGATGCCCAGATTCTATGTGACTAGATTAGTTCAGGGAAATGGGCTCAAAGTTTCGAAAAACTGCACAAGAATGCCGATAAAGCTGGAACTAAACTCAGCTTTGCCTCAGTGCACAGGAGTCCTGCCCATCCCAGTTTGCCCAGGATGTAGCTGGTTTTAGCATGGGAAGTCTCTTATCCTGAGCACCACATCAGCCTTTAGCAAAGGACAGCTGGCCACTTTAACTATGAGTTTAGAGCAATACAGTGGTATTGGTACCACAGAGAAGGGAGGGAAACTGCAATAGCGTAATCTTTCTGGCCAGTGTCCAAAACAAGGGTATCCAGTAATTAATCTTATAAATACAACACTTCTAGGAAAACATAATTTTAAATAACAACTTGGTGGGTAGCTTCAGACCCCCTGAACATCGTTACTATCACATTGGACATTATCATATCTGGGGAGGGAGAAAATGACTTGCCCTCACCTCCGTTTTGGTTATCACTATTCATGTGTACAATTTTAATCATTTTCACAGAGAAAAGGCAAATCTTGCTGTTACCCTCTGCAATGACAAGGAGGAGATCATGGCTCATGCCGCCTTCTTGGATTATCCCAATTGGAACGTGGCCAAACAGGATAACTGGGTGTCAGTGTTCCACGAGCTCGACAGCGAAATTGCTTGCACAGTAAGAAATCACACATCATGCTTATTAGAACAGCTTTAATTTGGAAGGGAGGATTTAATTTTAGAATGGTGTCATTTCATTTTCTGGATTGAGAAGTCCAAAACTCATGCAAAAATTATATGATATCATGGCAGTTAAAAAAGGCATGAGGTGATGGTGGAGCCCAGGAGGCCATAGGATACAGTGTGGGTTAGTGGTGGTCCCATCAGCCATCTGCCAGCAAGGCCCAGTTCATGCTACTAAATTAGCAAAAGTGGGGTATTAGGAATTAGCGTGTCAGATGTGTGTATCCAAACCCCCCTTTGTTCTCTCTGTGTAAGGTCTGTAATATGCTAGGAAGGCCCTGTCACCCAGGCAGTTGTCCTTGTAGTGACAACAGAGTGTCAGACTTAGTCATATTCTATAATTTTCAAAGATCTCATGGAGTCTGTCTCACCTGACTTTAGGTAGCCATTGAGGATTTGAAGTTAGCTAGTCTGAATTGGGATGTGCTATTTGGTGCTTTGAAGCACCAAATAGAAAGTGTAAAGTGCCCCATTAGTAATTTTTTATTAAGTTAGATATGGTGGTACACACCTGTAATCATAGAGAGGCTGAAGGAGGAAGATTGTTAGGTTCAAGGTTAGTCTGGATTATGTGGTGAGTAACATGCCATCCAGGACTCTGTCACAAGGCCCTGTATCTAAGTAAATAAGCAACCTAGTACTTGGGAGGCAGAGACAGGCAAATCTCTGTACATTCCAGGGCAGCTGGGGCTCTAGGGAGACCCTGTCTCAAAAAAAAAGTAAATAAGCATATAAATAAAATAATTTTATATTGATTGTGTTTAAAATGATAATAATGACTACATCAGGTTAAGAAAAACATTTAATATCAATATACTTATTCATTTTTATTCTTTTCTGTGTGTATGTGTGCATATAAATACAATGTATATGTGTATGCATATTCATATGTATGAATACAGGTGCATATGTGCCATGGCATGTCTGTGCAGGTCAGAGGTCAACCTCAGGTATCAGTTCTGGCTTTCCATCTTATTTGAAATGGGGTCTCATTTTGTTGCTTTTCTGCTGTGTATAGGCCCACAACTTCTGGGAAATCTCCTTTCTCTGCCTCTCATGTCCCTGTAGGAATGTTGGGGATACAGACACTTGTGCTATATGTCCAGCTTTTTCACATGAGTTCTAGGGATTTGAACTCAGATCTCCACACTTGCACAGCAACATCTATATTCTTTTTTTTTTGTCTTTTTGAGCCAGGGTCTCCCTGTAGCCCCAGCTGTTCTGGAACTCATTATGTGGACGAGGCTGGCCTTGAACTCACAGAGATCCGCCTGCCTCTGCCTCCTGAGTGCTTGGATTAAAAGTGTGTGCCATCACGCCCGGCTATCATCTATATTCTTTTAAAACACATTTTCTAGAAAATGTAGAATTCCTTTTGGTTTGCATTTATGAGTAATGTTATTTTTCTGTTGGGCAGCATTAGTATAGGCCCTAAACTTCAAGATTTTTTCTATCCGAGTACATCTGCAACAAAAGATATTTGGAGAATAAATCCTGAGTTGTAATATTTCTGATGGAAGAAAGAATTTGTGAGACAAATTGAACAACAATAAAGGTGGGCTCCAGGGCCAGTCCTGGTCAGGATGCAGTGCAGATATCCATCTAGAAAGGTTATGGGCTAAGAGCATTGCTACACAGGAAGTTCTTAGAACCCTGTTGTTTGTTGTTATGTTATTTAGACTTTGAAATTTTTTGTTTGCCTTTGGGGGATTTTCAAGGTCACAGATCAAACTATAGTTCCAATTCATGCTGTGACCTTCCAAGTCATGCCACCTAGCAGAAGTGGAGACAGTACGTGGCTATGTGGTTTTGGTAAGCCAAGGTTATCTATAAAACTGTAGCCAGTTCTCGCTTCAGCTACAGGTTCCACATACATGGATTCAACCACTAAAGATAGAAAGCATTTTTTAAAAATTGTGCCTAGAGCTGGGCGTGGTGGTGCACGCCTTTAATCCTAGTACTTGGGAGGCAGAGGCATGTGGATCTCTTGAGTGCTAGACTAGCCTTGTCTATATAGAGAGTTCCAGGCCAGCTGGGGCCACAGGGAAACCCTGTCTCAAAAAGACCAAAAAAATTGTGCCTATACTGAAGATTTACAGACTTTCCCCTGTCACTGTTCTCAGGCAGCCCCTGCATAGCACACTGTATTAGGCATCATAAATAATGCAAAAATGATTTAAAGCACATGGGAAATATATGTGGCTTATACACAAAATTACATCATTTGATACAGAGGTTGAGCATCTAGAGATTTTAGTGTCTGTAGAGGTCCTAGAACCAGTCCCCTAAACTGACACTGGGGAGGGACAGCTTTCCTAATGAAACAGAAACACAGACAACGTTCCCACTATCCCAGTAGAAGTGCAAGCACTGCCCTCACCAGTCAACTACATTTGCACTATTTCTAAAATGTTCGTGAACACAGAGGACCGGTTTTTCTTCAAAAGTTATGGGATGAAACCTTTTTAAAACTTGGGCAGTTTAACCTGAAAGTCAGGTTTTCTGGATCCCAAGAGTAATAATTTGATTCAGACTTCGGGAATGTTGAACAATACAAGCCTTTGGATTCCTAATGTAGCATCTGCCACCCATCCTTCAATTTCATAAGAGAATCTTTCCCTCATGTCTCATGAATAGAGCAGCAGCTGCTGATTCCGGAGCCCCAGGGAAAGGATGATTGTCTTTCACTTGGCATGGACACCCTGAAGACAAGACTATGGAGCTTATCATTGATTTCATTCTGCTGCAGGCTCTTCCCTACCACGGTGCAGCGTGAGGGCAGGAGGAAGGGCCAGGCACCCCAGACTCAAAACGATTCTCATTTCCTTAATAATTCTGAGCTAGTTGTACAGGAGGCAGTGAACAGAGTGATGAGAGTGCTCAGATTGCTACCTGGGTGCCTTATCACTGGCATAAAATGTCACCCATAAATATTGGACAGCTCTGCCTCTGAGACCACACTGCCCTGCTCTGTCATAGCCCAGAGACTGACTCAGTCTTTTATCTGAAATCTTTTTTTTTCCTGCAGCCTCTGAACACGCTATTTATGCACTTCTTCGTAGCAGTGGATGAGTATGCCACAGGCTGCTGCAAAGAGATTATTAGGTGAGTGGACGGCACCTTACAAATGGTGATCATGAAAGGCTCCATGTGAAATATTTTTCAAATGACATGAAATTCTTTATAGCATTTAATGTGCTTGTAGTTTATTACCATGTTAATCCTCTTTAATAGTATAGTAGCAATATTTCTGAAGGAAAGTAGTCTAATTCTTTGAATTCATTCTCCATTCAGCCCACATCTTTAACTGCTGTCATCTGAGGCCAATAGGTAGTGCAGCCATTTAAAGAAATGGATCAAAGGAGGTTGGGGAAGAGTAAAGCTTCACAAGCTTACATGTTTCCAAAGACAGATTTCCTCAGTCTTCTCTGTCAAAGTGCTTCTTGACATGACAGACTGCAGAAGCATCCTGAATAATAGGGCACATAGAAAGGTGATAAGCAGGGCCACCGAGTCGTGGCGATGCATCTCTGATAGCCTGCCCAGACCTGGGGTTGAGGGAAGCTCAGCTTTCAAGGCACTTTGTAATGTCACACCAGACTATCCAGATGCCAGGTCAAAGGTTAATGTCCGTAGAAATCTGGTGTGCCGTCCGGACATCATGCCTTTTATTCTCTGGGCCTCCACCAGACAGACATAAAAGGAGCTCTTCTGAATCCAAGGAAAAGTAGAGAGGAGAAAGAAATGACCCAGAAGATGCTCCTGCCTTTGGAGACAGGGAGCAGTTGAGCCCACGTGGGTCTCCAGACACCTCATTTTCTCAATGGCAGCATTTGTCTCCATAAAGTACCAGTAACAGGATTGCTTTATTAACACCATCCCTCCCTATCTTTCTAGGACTGTGTTTAAGGCCGTACCAGAACTGCACTTCATATTCCTCATAGTGCCCACGTATGTCAGCATAGGTAAGGCTCCTCAATGACCAGGGTTCTCAGTAGCTAACTGGGAACTTAAAACAGCACTCTTGGGAGTGGGAAGGAAGATTGGTCACTTTATGTGTGTCATGTGTGTACTTGTTATAATCATTAAGGCTCCATGTAGATTGGAGACCATATTTTGTTCTTAAATTGGAAAGTTATTCCTTGATAAACTGAGGGCACATTTCTTTCTTCTGTGATTTAGGCTCAGCTCTGATAACTGTATTTGACCAAGTGGGCACTGTTCCATGTCTGACGTATGAGGAAGACTTTGCGGTGCATATATGTCACAGGCATAGCCACTACCCTCGGCTGCACATTCGCAAGGCCAGGTACAGTTGGCACAGTGCCTGTGTAACCTAAGCTTCACAGGATCGTCACTTTTATAAGAGTCTTCAAGTCTTTCTTTAAGAGAGCATGAGTCAATTAGATTAAATTTTTGTGATACTCATAAACTTACTTTGTTTGAAGATGCTCAGAATGTCCCTGAATGGCATAATTGGCAAGACTGTCTGATGGTTCTCATCTGGCTCTGTGTGCTGCAGTTATGCATTTACTGCTCTGGGGTTCTGAAACACAGTCCTTAGTCCTACAATGAGCAAAATAACCTTGACATAGAACAAACTTGAAAATGCATCTATTTAGTTTTCCTAATAAAACCCACATATGTTCCAATATTTCACAAATGAGGATGCTGTTGACTCCAAAGAGGAGTTTTTCAAGTTGAAGTTCTTTACCATCAGTGCCCCCATGACATTCCTCAAGGATAGCAATTTAAGGGTATAGCTGTGGCAAATTGTGCTTTTTAAAGAAAAAAAATTTTTTTAATTATTTATATTTTATGTGTATGAGTGTATTGCCAGCATGTATGTGAGTGCACCTGTGTCGTGCAATGCTGTGGAGGTCAGAAGAGGGCTTGGATTCCCCTGGAACTGGAGTTAAAGACGGCTTGTAGCCGCCATGTGGGTGCTGGGAATTGAACCCGGGTCTTCTGCAAGAGCAGTCAGTGCTCTTAACCGCTGAGCCATCTCTCCAGTCCCAAATTGTGTTTTTCTAAAGACAGCCCCACACCATCTTTCACTATGCTTGCTTCCCTACAGTGTGACCCCCATCCTCTCATCAAATGATGGGCTATATGTGCCTTTTGTGCGAATCTAGGCAGATTGTGAAGGTTCTTACCAGTACAGCTTGGTGGAAGGGATGAAGTAGAAGTCATAAGTCTAGGAAACTTCTGCTTGCTTTGGAGGAAGTCAGCTTCGTGTAATAGATCTTCTGCCCTGACGTTGCTGTGATGGAGAGGCCTCATGCTGGTGTAGGTACCAGCCTCGGCTAGCTAATGCTGACAGTTAACATCAACTGCCAGATGTATGAGTGAGACATTGTGGACAGCGAGCCCAAGGGGTCATCTGACTCAGTACCATGAGAGACCCCAGGTAAGGGTGCTCAACTGTCCTTGTTAGAGTTCTGTTCTAGTTTGTTTTCTGTTGCTGTGATAAACACCATGACCAAAAGCAACTTGGGGAGGAAAGGGTTTATTTTATGTTAGAGGCTATAGTCCACCATCAGAGGAAGCCAGGGCAGGAGCTGAAGCAAGAACTGAAGCAGAGACCATGGAAGAGCACTGCCTGCTGGCTTGCCCCTCCAGCTTGCTCGGTTTGCTTTCTTAGACATCACAGGCTCACCTGCCTAGAGCTGTTCTGTCACAGTGGCATGGTCCCTCACACATCAATCATCATTCAAGACAATTCCCTACAGAGATGCCCACAGGCTAATCTGATGAAAGAAATTCCTCAATTGAGGTTCCCTCTTCAGGTGACTCAAGTTTGTGTCAAGTTGACAGTAAAAACTAACCAGCATTGCTTCCAACTCAAAATTATGAGCACAAGATATGACTGCTTTGAAATAAGAGTGCATTATGAAGCCAGGTTTGGTGGTGTAAGCCTTTAGTCTCAGCACTCGGGAGGCAGAGGCAGGCAGATCTCTGAGAGTTCAGGCCAGCCGGGTCTACATAGTGAGTTCCAGGACAGCTGGGGCTACAGGGAGACCCTGTCTCAAAAAGACCAAAAAAACCCAGAGTGCATCCTGTCCATTTCATAGGATGTCTCCTTAACAGTGAAGAATAAATTGTATCTTTTTCAAACCATTGCCTATTTGATGAGTGTCAAATTTCTCTTGAAAAGGATCAAATTTTTAACTTTTTAGTTTTTTTATTATTATTTTGCTTATTTTTATTTTATATGTATACGTGTATTTCCTGCATGTAGGCAAGTGCTTTTTAGAAAAGCAAGAGTTTTATAACATAGCTTTTAAGAACTTGTGATAATGGCATCAGATAGATGTAGATTCTGATCTTGGTTCTTCCACTTACCAGGTGTGCTAATTTATAAAAGGGAGCTGAAGGTGTGAGGGTCACATTTCTCTCTGTCAACAGTATAGTGTGTTGTCCTTAGCACTGGACTGTTGTGACAATCTATGAGCTAATGAAAGTCTAGCACTTAGTGTACTTCAGGTGACATGTAAGAATATAAGTGATGAATCATTTGTTATATGACTTGTTGTGTATTATATTAAACACTGAAGTATAAGACATTCATTCCTGGGCTGGAGAGATGGCTCAGCAGTTAAGAACGCTTGTTGTTCTTGCAGAAGACCTGGGTTTGAGTCCCAGCACCCACATGGCAGCTAACTTTCTGTAACTCTAGGCCCAGGGGATCCGACAGCCTCTTCTGACCTCCGCGGGCATTGCACGACACGGGTGCACTTACCTACATGCAGGCAATATATGCATACACATAAAATAAAAATAATAAATAAAATTTAAAAAAAGACATTCACTCCTTTTAAAAATATTTTTTACTACAGGGACTAGAGTAGAACCCAAGGGTAAAGCATTTGCCTAGATTGTGCAATTTCCTGCAGTTAATCCTAGCACCATATATATCACAAAGGGGCTTAAAGTTAAGTTGGGGAGAGAGGCTTCCCTACAATAAACTGTAAGGACATATAGTTGAGAAGAGGGAAGGCCAGAGAGAGCAAAAGACAGTCTCATTATACCTTTTCCTTGACTCTAAATAAAAGCAGCCCTCTGTTTACTCATATACATTGCGGTATATCCATACAATGAATGCTACTGCACTCAACAGAATGAATCGCTTCTATAGAAACAGCATGAATCAATCTCATAAAGTTCATGTTGAATGAAAGAAGGCAGATACAGAAATAAAACCCATGTACTGTTGATCCACTTTCATGATGTACACAACAGGTGATGCTAAGCTAATCTATAGAGCTAGAAATCAGGTTTTTGGTACCTGTGGTGGGAAGAAAAGTGAGACTGGGAGGGACAAGAGGGAAGTTTTGGAGTGGTGGCAATGCTGAGTTTACTGAGTATGTGTGCAGTTATCTAAGGTCATTAGAAGATCCATGCACTCTCTTAGATATCATATCTCAATGAAAAAATAATTTAAAAGAAATACAGGATTCACAAAGAAGGTGGCCTCTGAGTTTGGTCTGGAAGGATGAATCAGAATTCAGCCAGAGGGACAGAGTGGGCAAAGGTATAGAGTCAGGAAGCCCCTGGAATGGCCCTCACCAGGCAGATGGGAAGGTGTGATTGCTCTTCCACATGTGGAAGGAAGGGCATCCCCCCCTGGGCAGCAAAAGCAGAAGGGGACAGTTCTGTCCTGTGCCAGCATTGCAGAAGGCAGGCAGCTTTGGGGGTGTACCTACCTTGAGACCATGCTGATTTTCAGGTAGCTGGTAGCTTGCAGAGGAAAAGCATACATCAGTTTGATCAAGAAATGAGACAGGCTGGAGTTCAGGCAGCAGTGTATTACAGAGATCCAGGTGGGGAAAGAATGGGAGGAAGGCCTTAGATGCACTTTAGAAGACAGTGGATTTCCTCTCTGGTTGAGTGGAGAAGTTGAAGAATAAGAGTGAATTAAAGGTGACTTAAAGAGTTTTCAAGTTTAGAGGGAAGGGTAGCTTCAGTAGCTGAAGGTAGAAATAAGTTTGGAGGATGTTAAAGAGTTGGAAATAGAAAGAGACTCAGTTGTGAATAGTGAGCTTGTAGGTAAATAAGGAGAGTGTGACAGTGAAGGAGACTGTGTTGCTAAGGGAGAGCTTTTAGAGTGAAAAAGTAGGGCACAGGGTAGAATTTTGGAAGATGAAAGGGAGCTGTTAATAATGTAAAAGAAAATTGGTGGGCAGGGGAAAGGAGAAGAATGTGACTCTGCAAGTGGCAAAAGATGCAGAGAAGGCCCGAGGGTGGGGTGGCACATACCTTTAACCCCAGCACTCAGGAGGCAGTGGCAGACAGATCTCTGTGAGTTCGAGGCCATCCTGGTCCACATAGTGCTTTCCAGACCAGCCAGGGCAACATAGTGAGACCTTGTCTCAAAAAACAGAACAACAAAAAGATGCAGAGACATCAAGTCCTTGTAGTATAGGAAAGAGGCCATCTGATTTAGCAGCTTATAAAGGCACAGATCAGATAAATTTGAAATGTCTTGCCAAACTGACCAAGGGGGAAAAAAAAAAGATAAATGACAAATGTCAGGAATGAAAGGTGGCCTCACGACAGAGCCTACAGATAAAGATAAATGGAATACAAGAAACAACTCTGCATCCATCCAAAATTTTAGATAAATTGGGCCAACTAGTTAAAAACACAAGTTACCAAAACTCACTTAAGAGGAAATTGATGACTTATTAAAGAAAGTTCACATGAACTCTGAGTGACACGGAGAGTGCTGCCTGCTTGTACACCGGCTTTTCTTCAACCCCCACCTAGGTTACATCTCTTCTCTTGTTCTTCCAGCTCTGAGCTCTGCCTTCCCTAGGGTCTGGATTTTTGTTTTCTCTCACGTTCGCCCCTTTAGCTCTTGTGTGTCAACCCTGGCCACTCGGCACCTAGTGTCCTGCCTCTGGACACTTGGCTGTGTGTTTGGTTTTCCTCCTCCTTAAAGGGAAGGGTTAAAGAGTGGAGATCAAACTGCACTGGGCTGAGCAAATGACAAAGGAAGTGAAGGCAGAGAGTGTGCACTACTCTTCAGGGAAGTTGGTGGTGAACGAAAACGAAGGCCAGAAGCTTCCCTGCAGGTGCTGACCATTCTGCAGTCAGCACAGAGTTACTCCAGGCTCACACTGTGAGCTGTTCTACTGTCCACACAGTGTTTGATTTGCATTCAGAGAGCTCAACAGGTGCCTAAAGGAAGATCTCCAAGGATTGGAACAGGTACAAATTACTCATCTAATGTAGGACAAGAGAGAAGACAATTCCTCATAGGATGCTTTTTTTGTTTTTTTTTTTATTTTTTAATTTTTTTTGTCT